TATTGTCATATTTAGGACAGGAGAAGAAAATGGAGAAGAGACGGGGACTTCTACAGCATTTTGAACTTTAGGTTGCCAAAACAGCTCGTGGTGTCATAGAAATTCTGAGCCAGCTCTCACTGTTCTTCTGGCAAATTTTATGCGGGGGGCTTGGGTGTTTTTAAGTAGAAATTGATCAAAGAAGAGTATTTTCGTATTTTCATTCCCTGGGTTTAGATATATTTATTTTAGATCTGCTGCTGCAGAGTTCAGCTTCCTTCAGCTGTGCTTCCCCACCAGGATATGTCCATGTACCACCTATGTTTCTCGACAGTCCAGCACCGTGGGTTTGAAACATGTACCGGTGTGGTCCTCTTCAGCCTTGCTGCCTGGGACCTAACACAAGCAAGAAGTTCCTGCACTATCTTGTGCCCCACTCTCACGTTGCTTCTGATCTGTCAACCACTGTGTTTCCCTCAGGGACCTCAACCACTTTCTTAAATTTTAGCTATTGGGAAGAGACACTGCTCTGGACCTCATGGGCCTTATTACTATTAACATGACTGGGAATACACCCTACTCAACAGCGGATGTTCCTGCACAGTTCCTTTAGCCCTGACTACGGGGGTCCTAGCGTCAATGATCTGCTTCACCAGATGTGAAGCAGATGCCACCATCACCTCTATATTGCCTAGTTGCCTACACTGCTGCCTTCTGTTGTGATAGCTAAAAGGAAGCCTGTTTCTGACATGTGCTTTAGTGCCCTGAATTTTGAACACTTCTCATGTTTACTTGAACCTTCTTTTACTAGAGGAATACTGAAACTCCAGCACCCAGCCACGTCTTCAAAAAAAGAAGAGCACCTTCATCTCTGCAGCAGGCTCTACATGGGCACACTCCGGGGTGCCTTGCTGGGGTTGCAGCTTCCCAAACATGTTCCTGTTCAACCTAAAACCCACAAATGGTGTGTGTGTGTTGGGGAGAAACATGTAAATTGTGAGAGCTCTCTGCAGGTGCTATGGAGAAGCCCTCAAGTCAAAGGCTGAGAGAGTTGTGGGTGCTTTACTGTTGACACAAGGCTGGCCAAGGAGCTTGGGGTCTAGGGGTTAGAGAAAGAAAAGGTTGTAGATCCCAGACTATCCTCATGTGAGGAGCCCTGGCACAAGGCACCTTCCAGACATCATTTTATCATTAGAGGGAACTCCATGCTTAAGTCCAGTGCAACGGGAGTTAGGACAAAATGGTGAGTCAGCTATGTGATGGTCACCATCTTGCACCATGGGTCGTGTGTTGGGACAGGACACAAGGTCAGTGCAGTGCCTCCTGGGGCTGCTTCTCCTGCTTTCTGGCTACCACACAGCTGGTGAAGCTGGTTGTTGGGGGTGGGATGCAGGGGTTCTCCATGTCTGACACACAGCACCCTCAGCACGGCTGACACGCCGCATCTTGTGCTACTAAGGTCAGCCTCAAAAACCTCTTGTCTTCATCTTTCTATTTTGTCATTAAATGGGTGTTTAATGCTGAGCCTCTATATATTACACCAGTTTGACCTGTGAAGGACAAGAAGCAGATGTCATTTATTCTTCTATTAAACATCTGTCCTGAAAACAAAAAAAAAAACAACAACAAACAGACGGCAAAGTACAGGGCACAACTTTTTACTTACTTTCCCAATTGCCTTTTAACATCTTTTTTTTTTTTTTTTTTTCCCTGGGAGTTTTGTGCTCCTGTTGAGGTTTTGAATCAGTTCCAGGGAGAGAGGTCCCCACAGGACTCTGCCGCTGCGGGCTTGTGCCTGAAATAGTTGAGGGCAACTAGACGTGGTGGCAAGAAAATGAGCAGTTAATGTCGTGCGAGTGTTAATTGTGCCAGAAATAAGAGGGTATTTTCAGAGCCTCCACCCAGCAGTACTAAGAGCATTTAATTAATTTGTTTGTGCAGTTTCTCTGGATGGGTGGCAGGAATCTGCCCGGTTGCTCGGGCCCCAGGTGCGGTGGGGGACAGGCTGGAGTGGCCAAAGATGCCACATCAGCCTCTGTTTTCCTGCTGCCCAAGGGAACAGGAGAAAATGAGGGTACATGGAAAGCCTTCTTTGTAATTCCCCTTGGACCTGGCAAGTGGTTCTTGATTTTCCTTCAGGCCTCTGGCCCTGTTGAAGCCAACAGCACTGGCCTGCATCTGGCACGGGAAGCCAAGGTGAAATACCCTTGTTCTGCTCCAATAATTCCTTGTTCTGCAGTGATAACAGGAGCGGGAGATCTGACTGGAAGGGAAATAGCTGTGTGTGCATGCTGCTTCTGGAGGCTGGAGAAGTCCCTGAGGGAGCTGGGGGTGTTCAGCCTGGAGAAAAGGAGGCTGAGGGGAGACCTTCTTGCTCCCTCCAACTCCCTGAAAGGAGGGTGTAGAGAGGTGGGGGTCGGTGTCTTCTCCCAAATAACAAGAGATAGGACAAGAGGAAATGGTCTCAGGTTGCTCCAGGGGAGGTTTAGATTGGATATTAGGAAAATTTTCTTCCCTGAAAGGGTTGTCAAGCATTGGAACGGGCTGCCCAGGGAGGTGGTTGGGTCACCATCCCTGGAGGTGTTTGGGAGATGTGTAGATGTGGTGCTGAGGGACATGGTTTAATGGTGGACTTGGCAGTGCTGGGTTAACGGTTGGACTCGATGATCTTAAAGGTCTTTCCCAAACTAACCAACTGCAGGAAGGTCGGGTGCCCCCTGTGCTGTAAGTACTATTTACATTCTGTGGACTAACACAGGCATTGCAGAGATGTGAAATGGCATGTAACCGGGCAAAATTTTAAAAATTCTTCCAATAGTTTATGAAGACAGTTTTTCAGTGATATGTCACATAATGGAAGGGATAATCAGACCCTAATTAGACCCTTCCATTAGTGTTGCTCAATGAGCTAAATCCCCCAAGCTTCCCATGCAGCCCGCTCGAATAATGTGACATCCCAGCATAAGCTGAGTAATTATTGAAATTCAAAAGCATTAAGTCTTAAATTAGCAGGAGAATAATAGGTATTTGGGATACATACAATGGAAAGCACCATGCAGGAGGGCACCACAACATGTACCGTGTCTGGAATTATAAGGGAGCTGGATTTGGCACTAACTGTTCATGTCACACACGAGTCATTCAGGCTGAGGGTGATCAATGCTTCAGGTCACCCGGCTCGGCTGGTTGGGAGTACCCTATCTTCTGCAGAACCTTCTGTCTTCCTGCTTTACGATGCTTACACTTAGACAAAAGCTTGTGCTCGTTTGAAAATGTAGATGACTGCCACCTCTGCTGCCCGGGGTAGGCCATACTGTGAGCCTGAAGGATCTGCGTGGAGCCAGACATGTGGGCATCTCTCGTGTTGCTTTCTTCCATTTAATGTTTTCCTGAATACCTGACGGTAACTGGTGGCCAGTCATGGGGTGAGACAGGGAGAGGAACTGCTGGGGGGGTGTCTCCAGTCGTTGGGTCTGATGCCTTTTAATCTGGCTGGCTCTTTCCCTTGCACTGCGGCCCGTTGTCTCTGCTCCCTACAGCCCTGACAGCCACGGGGGGAAAACACTTAACCTGGTCTGAGGTGGAAGGGAGCCTGAATCAAAGCCCTGGTAAAAAAAAAATTAAAAAAAAAAAATTAAAAAAAAGGCTGTTTAAGTTTGGAAACAGTGGTTTTGGGAGCTGCAGTTGGCTCTGGATGTGCGCATTTGCAGTCTTACCCTGGAATTGTTCTGCCGTTGAGCCTCCAGTTTCCCATCGAGATGAATGAGACTTTTGAATGAGAAGGGGTTTGCAGTCCCAGCACCCGAGGAGAGTCGTTTTGGCAAATGTCTCAGTCTGGAAGGGGCCAGAGTGAACTCCGGGCAAGCGAAAACAAAGCAGGCGTGCATACCTTCACATTCCTGCCTCACTGCTCCGAGCAGAGAGCTCTCAGCTGTCAAAACCCTGCTGTTTTGCTGGCAAGGTCTCACTTCTCCTCCGGTGATATTTTATGGGGCCTGTCTTCTCCTACACCTTCAGGGAAGAGGCCCCACAGAACCTGCAAACCCCAGGACTGGGAGCGCAGAACCTGTTGGAGCCCCACCATCCTGAAGGAAGAAGGTGTCTGTGCCACGACCAGAGGGGGCTTTTGGATGAGGGCCCCTGAAGCCTCTCCTGGGGGTTTGTTGGCTCTAGAAATCGGTACTGAGTGTTTAGCAATTAATAAGTGCACTGCCTTTATTTATTCTGACTGCAAGGGGCTTTGTCGGGAGGGACGTGGATCTTCTGCAGCATTATGATGCGTGGTGAATAATTCACATAAAAAACATCCAGCAAGTTTTGGGGTTGGGTTTTTTAAATAGTGCTTAGATATTTTTAACTTGTTAATGCTGTAAGTCTTCGGGATCTTATAAATCACATGAATATTATAATATTTTAAATGTTTGTTTTTTTTTTTTTTCAAGTCCTACTAAAACTTGTTTCTCTGAAACAGAGGCCAGGACTCTGCGAACATCCACCGATATTCTTCATTTGACTCTCCTAAGTTCTCTATTCATGTCAAAAGGGAATATTCTTTTGCTTAAAGCAAGGATCTCTGTTTTACAGGATTTTGGCGAAATACATGAAGATGTATATTCTATAAAGTTTCTCCCTGGAGTTTTTATTCTATACATAAATCTGTATCAGTCATATTTCAGTGTATGGGTGTTTCATTTTGCTCTATGAAACTAGTCCAAGGCTGCTGCTGACGTCGTATCTCAAATAAGTTCAGGGGGCTTGGTGTGTCCCAAGTGCTGGGGGTTTTTTTCTTCTTAAAGATTTTTGTAAAGTTAAAATTTATCTGTATTTTTTCAGCTTGTCTGCATATTATATCAGAGGAAAGGTTTTATATATATATATATATATAAAATGTTCACATACTAAAGTAAATTAATAAAGCTTCCTTTTCGTATGAAAGAGGTAAAGAAAACTACCTGGCCAATACAGTACCATTAATCTATTCTCTTTTCTCCTTTCTCTCTTTACCTCTCTCTCTACAATAGAAGTGGAACAAAAAGGTAATTAAATACCTTTCAAATTATATATATTTATTACTTATGTATAGGCTAAGTTATTTTAACAGTTTAACGTTTTAGTTGAAATACTTTGTCATTAATTCTCACTACTTTTTTGTTAAAGTTTATTTAGTATCTCTGCTGCTCAACTTCACCAGCTAACTCATTTTTGCTGAAAAGTTTTTACCAGTGCCACTTTTTTTTTTCATGAAATTTCTATTCGAATGTTTAGATACCTTCTTCTGCCCCAAAGAATTTGAAAAGCGTGCATACATACGTATGCGCATAAATATATCTAATTATGCCATAAAAGCCTCTTGGAAACAGCACCCCTTTATCAACAGCTCTGGGTGGTTACTTAAGACTCCAGTAGAGCAATACGCTTTTACACCAGTTACTAAATCTGATTTTCCTCCCGTCTCGCTCTCCAGAGGATATTGCCAATTCCTGCATGTCGGAAAATAATTGGTTATGCTTCCAGCAGGGAGTGCAAACGTGGGATCCCATCTGCCAGCCCCTCACCACCAGAAGCATGGGATGATGATGATGGTGATGGGATACCTCTCCCTGCTGCCCATCCCATCCTCACGGTTATTCTACTCTCTCGTGCTCACGGAGATCAGCATCACAAACAAACAACACACAGCCTCCCCCCAAAAGTCTGTGCTTGTCCCTCCAGGCCAGGAGGGTGCTACCAGGAATGACGGGGGCCAAGCAAACCAGTTTTGCTCCTCAGCAAAACCCCTCCTTTTGCCTCTTCGTGCAGCTGGCTCTCCTCTTGACATTGGCATCCCCACGATGCCGAGGTCAGCCAGGCACTGGCCGGGCCAAGCAAACCAGTTTTGCTCCTCAGCACCCCTCCTTTTGCCTCTTCGTGCAGCTGGCTCTCCTCTTGACGTTGGCATCCCCACGATGCCGAGGTCAACCAGGCACTGGCCAAGCCCCCTCCCAGGCTCTGGGCATGTCCTGGCCCCTCTCAGCCCCCCCCCAGCCCCCCGAAGTCTGAGCAGCAAAGCACCCCAGTAGTCCAACTGCTCCTCTATGCTCCTCTCATGTAACAATAGAAGGTATATGTTTTTAAGTTCGAATTACTACTATATTTAACAGGACATTTTTTTTAACTGATTAAAATCTAGACCTTGGGTTCCTCTCCAGTGAACTTTATTCTTTTCCTTCCTTCTTTCCTTCCTTCCTTCCTTCCTTCCTTCCTTCCTTCCTTCCTTCCTTCCTTCCTCGTCTTTTCCTTTCAGCATCCATATGTCATTCGTTTTTAATTGTGTGGACTGCATGTTTCGTGTGTCCTGTAGCAGCTTTGAAAGCCTCATTTCTAGTTACACTACAGACCTGTAGCCGGGTGTTCCCCCCCCTCCCACCCCACTCCCTTTGCTTTAAATGCTCTTCTGAGTTGCTAAAGGATTCGTCTCTGCTTTGCTGTTGGTACCCTTTAAATATTTAATGTCGCTTGGGCTGTAAGGATGGGAATCTCTTTCTCTTATTTCCATTTTCTAGGCTGCTTTTCTGTGGGCTGTTCAAATAAATATGTGGATCAATTCCCCAGGAGTTTGCCCCTTCACCTAGTAGGTACAGATTCACTGCCGAATATAATCTGGAAATACAAACCCAGAAAACCCTTGGGGGCACATATTCATTTCAGAGTTTACAAAAGGCGAGTGGTCCAAGTAAGTACACCTGTAAAAATAGATTGGAAAAGCAATAAGAAAATGAGCCATAGTTGATAGAAAAAGCAGGGAAAAGTCATTTTGGTGGAGCAAATCTTGTTCTAGAGATATGGCTGGCAGGAAGGCTAGTCTCCAGCTACAAGGCATTGCTCTTGGATTTCCTCTGGTCCGGAGTGTCCTCTGCTCCAGAACTAGAAGCGGTTGAGATGTTTGGGCCGAGCACCTCCAGACTGTCATTAACTTTGGGTTTCTCTTTTAAATTCTTTTTCCCGTCCAACAGTTTTTCTTTGCCCTGGACTGCTGAAAGGAGTATACCAGAGCGAACACTTATTCGAATCTGACCACCAATCTGGTGCCTGGTGCAAGGACCCTCTGCAGGCCTCTGACAAGATCTACTACATGCCCTGGACGCCCTACCGGACGGACACGCTGACGGAGTACTCCTCCAAGGACGACTTCATCGCGGGGAGACCGACCACCACCTACAAACTCCCTCACCGGGTGGACGGCACGGGGTTCGTGGTGTACGACGGGGCTTTGTTCTTCAACAAGGAACGCACCAGGAACATCGTCAAGTTTGACTTGAGGACAAGGATAAAAAGCGGGGAGGCCATCATAGCTAACGCCAACTACCACGACACCTCTCCCTACCGCTGGGGAGGCAAGTCTGATATTGACCTGGCTGTGGATGAGAACGGGCTGTGGGTAATCTATGCAACAGAACAAAATAATGGCAAAATAGTCATTAGCCAGTTAAACCCTTACACGTTAAGGATTGAAGGGACGTGGGACACGGCCTACGACAAGAGGTCGGCTTCCAACGCCTTCATGATCTGTGGGATTTTATACGTGGTGAAGTCCGTGTACGAAGACGACGATAACGAAGCCACAGGAAATAAAATAGACTACATCTATAACACTGACCAAAGCAAGGATAGCATGGTGGATGTGCCCTTTCCAAACTCCTACCAATACATTGCTGCTGTGGATTATAATCCCCGGGACAACCTCCTTTACGTGTGGAACAACTACCACGTTGTGAAGTATTCCTTGGATTTTGGCCCGCTGGACAGCAGAGCAGGTATGAGTTCTAATATGAGCCAAAATCTCAATATGGGCTTTCTATTTTTCATGCAAATGCGGTGTAAAATTGAAGTGCAGTCCTGCCTTACTGATCTGCCTGTGTTTCTGTTAATTAAGTCCCACCACAAGGCCTGTGATGGATATTAAGATAGTTACACATGCAGAATATTTTTTCTAAATCTTAGTTTGGAATGAAATAGAGAAAGGAATGTGCTGTACCTGTAACTAACCTGAAACAGTCTCCAAATGTCCATGCTCTTGTTTGTATCACAGAGATAACACTCTTTTCTCCCTCACTGAATTTTCCTCTGTGCATCAGATCATCTTCCCTTCTGCAGGAATTTTGGCAAAATAAAGTGTGGAAGATGCTGTCGCTGCAAACAGACGGGGGAAAACTGCCAGCCAGTTTAAATTACTTCCTTCCATTAAGCTGGGGGAGTTTGGGCTATTTAGGGAAGCCACTGCTAATTGCATACATGAACATACACCCACAAGTGTGTATCTAGAGTCAAGAGGGGAATTGACAACAAAATCCTCCAAAATGTTGTGGTTTTTTCTTTAAAGTTGCTTTTTTTTTTTTTTTTTTTTTTTGTAAAGCATGACTTACTGGATTTTGTCTAAGAGAGGAGCTCCTGGCCCCCAGAGGATTCCCAGCTTTTCCACCTTTTTTCCTGTTAGAAATTGCATGGATAATTAATTACTTAGTTGGGTTATATTCCCTCAACTTTACCGACCTAATCATCATTTTGCAAGTGGTGTGTTCACGGTTGCCACTTTATTAGCGCTCATGACTTAGCCCAGGTTGTGGTCAAACTCATACGACGGTGCAAAAGTTTCCAAACCGAGTTACCAGGCAGTTCCTGTGGGTGAGTTTGTTCTTCAGAAAGGCTGAAAAAGTAAGAGGAAGGGCAGAATTAATATAATTTGAATGGCAAAGCTATTTGATTTGTAGTATGGCTATTCGCAAAACGTTCTGTTTTGTTAATAAGAAACTTGGGAGTCACTGGGTGGATTCAGGTCTTCAGATTGCAAAAGAGAAGTCGAGGTTCCTGTTGCTGGGCTTTTTTTCTTTTTCTTTTTCTTTTTCTTTTTCTTTTTCTTTTTCTTTTTCTTTTTCTTTTTCTTTTTCTTTTTCTTTTTCTTTTTCTTTTTCTTCTTCTTTTTCCTTTTCTTCTTCTTTTTCTTTTTCTTTTTCTTCTTCTTTTTCTTTTTCTTCTTCTTTTTCTTTTTCTTCTTCTTCTTCTTCTTCTTCTTCTTTTTCCTTTTCTTCTTCTTTTTCCTTTTCTTCTTCTTTTTCTTCTTCTTCTTCTTTTTCTTCTTCTTCTTTTTCTTCTTCTTCTTCTTTTCCTTTTCCTTTTCCTTTTCCTTTTCCTTTTCCTTTTCCTTTTTCCTTTTCCTTTTCCTGTGAGCAGCCCGTTATCCATGTAAAAGAGGGATCAAGAGATGCTGAAAGGAACTGTGGATATGAAAATCTGGGGAGGAATAAAGCTAGTAAAATGGCAGTGAATTTCTCATTTTTATGCAAAAACATAAGGAAGAGGAGGAGAAGAAGATCTTGAAGTGGCAGATGAACAAAAGCAAGTGGCTGTTAAGAGAGGAGCAGGAACGTTTTCAATGGTGTTGACCTCTGCAAGATCTCAGATGAGCAAAAAATGAAGTAATACTTCTCATTCTCCCAACTTAATGATGAGCATGTACTCTCTGAGTGGTGGAGTGAAGCGGAGCAATTTGTGAGCTATTGGTTATCCCTGAGGAGTGAAAATCAATTGCATCCCTTTTATTTCACATAGTTTCTCTCTTGTTCAGTGAATTATTTCCAGGTATTACAGCAGACTCTGCTGCCATTTTTTCACATTGTGACCATTGCCAGTAACAGCATCTGAAATAAAAAAAAAAAAAACAAAAAACCATAATCAGTGAAAAAAACCCCAAATTTTGTCCCCAGTAACAGCATCTGTAATAAAAAAAAAAAAAAACCAAAAAAACATAATCAGTGAAAAAAAACCCAAATTTTGTACTTTCCTCTAAAAACAAGAAATGGTTCTCCCCTTTTACCTGGTCTAAGCTGGTGAGGGGGGAGAGCAGGTGGAAACCTTGCAGAGGGCTGAAAGTCTATCAGTCAGGTTCAAGGATTTGATTTGTCCTCCTGTCACTCTGGTTTGAAACCCCTTTAATTCGCTCAGGTTGGGACAAGAATTGAAAATCCTCCAGTGCCTCAGTGGGAAAGCTGAAGCAGTTTTTGGCTTTGGGTGGTGGGCATGAGAAGGTTAACACAGTGTCAGGGAGTCTGGAGAGCCTTCTCTGACGTTCCTTTCGTACAATTTTGGAGAGCTTCATCATGTGGGCACAAAGCTGAATTATACATACGTTTCTCTTCTCTGAAAATTGCCAGGATTTCCTTTTTGGCAGAAATGCAGAAGGATCCAATTACCTCGCTATTTTATGGGCTAAGAGGACTTTTGAGAGGACTGCTCTGACGGCAAGTGAAATTCTTGATGAGACAGCTGGAATGGGCCGAAGCATTTCAGAGTGAAGAAAAATACCTTTGCAAAGGGAGGCTACTGCTCTGTACCTGCACAGTAGTGGGAATGGTGTTTTTTGAGTCAGTCAGAGAGAGACACTGATTTTCAATTGCATGGGTGTGCAAACACCTGCTTGACACCAATTTTTATTTTTTTTTTGCAGAGAGGAGCCCAGGTCTGCATGATTTTTTTCTCTTCCAAGTTCAGTACGACACATTTTCTGATTAGCACCAAATTTTATGCTGCCTTGCTCTATATGTAATAATAAACACATTATTAAACCCAGCTTAAACCCAGCTCCTCCACCAAAGAGCAGAATAGGAGCTGATGCTCGGAAAGCAGTGAAGACCCGGGATGATTTTATTTGGTTATTTAGTTGTGGGTGTTTTTTACAGAGTAGATTGTGGATATGGTTTTCCCCTCTTCCAAAATAACCAGTGTTTCTCTGTTTCAAGTGAGGCAATGGTCAATTCAGCCATTTTACACAGAGTTACAGTCTGAAGAGTAAAATATGTAAACAATATCTGCTTAATTAGAAAATAAAAGAAAGGCTGTAAAATTGATGAGTCGAACAAACTGGTTGTTAGAAAACAATTAAGGGTGAAGTGTTAGGAGAAGAGTTCTATAAACCCAAAAATTGATCATAATAAAAAAAGTGATATATTTAATAGCCAGTAACATATTTGAAATCTCCGGTGTCATACATTTCAAGCATATCTAAAATAAAAAACAGGTGCTGAGGGCTCCAATTCACTTAGAATCAAACATTTTCAGGCTTTTCCCAGGGAAAATGGGGAGGAGGCAGGAGTCCCTTAGCTGATAGGAAAGGCAGAGATCACATCCTCTTGCTCTTCACAGGGATTAAACGTTTTCTGTGGGTTTTAATTTAAGGTCTGTTTGTGCATGTGGGTTTGGAACTTCCTGGCTGGTTTGGAGATCAATCTTCACCGTGGCACAGCTTCTCTCTCACCCACTGTTGAAGAAAATGGGCTTTTACTCCTTGGGGTAAATGAGTGTCAAACCCTGGACTTTCTGTGCTCGGCGTCTGTCGCGGCTGAGGGTACCAGAGAAGACAAAATATTCTGAAGCCTTCAGTGAGGCATAAAGCTGGATTCAGCTGATCTAGAAGCCATTCAGGGCTCTTGGTTGAATTAAAACCAATTGCTCGTTTTTCTCAGAAATGGGAAAAGCTGCATTTTAAAGATTTTCCTCGCTTTTTTTTTTTTTTTTTTTTTTTTTTCTCCTTTTGTCTGGGGTTGTTTCATTTGTCCCAGAAGTGGTTTTGAAGTCAAACGCTCCTCAGTGCCTGCAAATCCCAGGAAACCTGTCATTAACGTCTACCTTCAAGGAGTGAACTTGAAGATACCAAAAACCTTTGAAGCATATTTCCTTTGAGCTGTTTGGCCTTAAAATGAGTTTTTTTTGGAGGATGTTTCTCCGTAAATGCTCCTGAGCTTTTGGGTTATTTCTTTGTAGCTGCTTTTGAGTTTGCTAATTTGAAGTGACAGTGAGAATAGCTCTGGAACTCTTGCAAGTGTTTTTCATGGCATTCTTCAGGGGACTGAACCCAGGAAAATGTTCAGGTTGGTTTTTTTTTTTTTTTATGTGCCCCCCTAGACACGTGTGGAGTGGGGAACGAAAGGCTGTATCAACAGAATGAAAATTTTTTCCACCACCTAATCAGTCTTAATATTCACCAGAGTTACCTGTTTTAATCATCACCCACTTGTGATAGAGTCTGCGTAAACAAATTCAAGGAAACATCAACAAATCCTCCTCTCCAAAAGGGTAAAGTGCTCCCATCTTGCTTTCCCAGCACTGAGCTGCATACAGACACCCATCGCCTGGCTTTGCCTCTCTGCACCTCACCACTCACCAGGGGGGGCTTCCTGGGCAGCAGAGAGACCAAAGGAAGAAAATTTTGTCTTTTAAATGCCTCAGGTGCCCCCCTCCAGAGCTGGCAGCCGTGGTGCAGGGGCTCAGGATGTGCTGGCTGATCGTTTAGACCAGTCCCGTAGCTTGGCAGTGAAGAAGTCCAAGGAAGGACTTGAACCAGGAGAAGGATCCCTCTGTAGATGCCTGGGACTTGGATGTCCTAGCAGCCATTCCAGTGACATAGAATCGTAGAACCATCCAGGTTGGAAAAGACCCTTGGGATCATCGAGTCCAACCATCAACCCCACTCTACAAAGTTCTCCCCTACACTACATCCCCCAACACCACATCTAAACGTCCCTTAAACACATCCAAGGATGGTGAGTCAACCCCCTCCCTGGGCAGCCCATTCCAGTCTCTGACTACTCTTTCTGTGAAAAACTCTTTCGTAATGTTCAGTTTAAACCTACCCTGTTGTAGCTTGAAGCCGTTCCCTCTTGTCCTATCGCTAATTAGCTGGTAGAAGAGACCAGCAAGTTCCAACCCCCCCTGCCATGACATGCGAAATACAGAACTCCTACTTCAGAGGAGATGTTTTAAA